TTTTCTTGTTTTAGCATTTCTTTAGTTGCCCATTTTCTTTATTTGTGTGGCAGACATTAGTCTGCTTTTTTTTTTTTTCTCTATCTATATGCAGGGGGACATTGGATGATATCCTTGTATTTCTGAAAAGCGTAGAATGAAGCTTTGTGTTGAAGGTTGAGAGGGTTGGGTAGTAGTCCAAGTGACTGCTTTTTAGAATGTACAAGCCTGGATGTGCACAAGCCCTGGGAGAGTTCTTTGTGGGGTCCTCAGCCCCAATCTGTTCCAACACATTTATGGATGGTTCAGATACAGACGTAAAAGGTAGGCAGCTAAGTTAGATAGAAATATTATAGGCAGGCAGTCAGACAGGGCTGGAGCCAGTGTGGAAGGAGCCAGTGTGGAAGACACGAGATACCTTGCCACCGTGGGAGAGACAGATACCTCTAGCTGTGAGCCAGACCTCAAGACAAAAGACAAGACAAATGCACCCACATATTTCCTAAGGTTAAACATCAGAGATTGATATTCTACATAGGTCTCTATCACCTTAAGAAAGCCAGGAAGAGTCCCTAACCCAACCCCCTACCAGAAAAGCCACTGCTTGGAGTTTAATTCCTCACTTTATCATGAACTATGTGGCCTCAGGCAGGCTTTGCTTAACTTCTCAGAACCTCAGATTCCTCATCTGTAAAATGAGGCTAATAAGGTCTAACCTATGATAATGGGAGGATTAAATGAGATGACACAAGAAGCTTTCGTGCTTGTCAGGTGCTAGCAGTCACTCCCTGAGTGGTAGGTGCTAGGCCATCCCTTCAGCGTGGCAGAAGGCCTGGGTGGAGAGCCAGGTGTGGTGGATGCTGAGGCTGGCTGCGCACACAGCTGCTCTGAACGTCAAGAGTACGCCGTGGCAGCAGATAGGGCTACTGTTTCTCTGTTCTTGAACTGGTTGTGTGATTGTTTCTGTCTTTTTGTTATGTAGAGCTCAGTTGAATAATGGTGTCAGGCGCTATCAGGAATGGATTTTGACTCTAGGCTGAAGAATAAAGCACAAGGTGGGGAAATAGACTTACAGTTCATGGAAAAAAAAAAAAAAAAGATGCCTTTGAAATGGATGCCAAGGCCACTGAGGGCCTATGCAGAGAATGCAGTCTGAACCGCATTCCTTGAATTCCCAGGTCAAAGGAGGTGACCGTGCCTCAGCCCTTGAAACTGCATGGAGCACAGCCGAGCTGTTGTTTTCCCACTGGCCATGAGTTTAACAGTGGTGTTGCTAATGGAATTGTGCCCAGAGGAGGGCAAGTGAGATGAGGTGCTGGGGAGAAGCTGTCACTTCTGAATGGCTGTGTTGGAACTGGGGCTATGCTAGTGGATTTTGGACATCGAGAGCCAGGACTTGGGGGTCAGGTGAGGGGAGATTTTAGGTCCAAAGGGCAGAGTTTAGACCAATGAGTAGAATTTTACAGCAAATTTCAGTGCAGAACCAGAGGGACTTCCCAACAGCTTGAACCAAAGGAAACTGGAATGCCTGTGAGTTCCTGCTGCTAGGGGAGGATGTTGTGGGAGTATGCTGAGGGATGACTTCCTGCTAAGGAAGTGGCCATACTATTTAGTTTGAAAGATTTCAAAATGCAGTATAAAGAAGTTAAAGTAAGAACACAATATCCACTTCTCACAGCTAAGCAGTCCTAACATTTTGCCATTTTTGTCTTTTTGTTACTCTTTTCCCCTCACTCCTTCCTTCCTTCCTGCCAGCCAGCTTTCCCTCCTTCCCTCTTTTCTTGTGCATTTATTGGAGTGTTTGAAAATAAAGTGCAGATTTGATGGCACATCTTCCTTAATACTTCACTTGCTGGGTGTGGTGGTGCATGCTTGTAACCCCAGCACTCAGAAGGTTGAGGTAGGAGGATCACCATGTGTTTGAGACCAGCCTGGTCTACTTAATGAGTTCAAACCCAGCCTAAACTGCCTAGTGAGACCCTGCCTCAAAACAAACAAAACAAAACAAAACTTTACACTTGCAAGTCTAAGAATCAGGACGTTTCCCACAGACTTACAGTGTCATTATTATTCCCCAGAAAACTAATGATGAACAGTCGTTCACAGTATGGATGTGGAGAAACACTGATCTGGGGTGGCTGACCTCCAAATGGTATAAGGGAAAAGTAATCTACCAACCTGAAAGGAACCTGGGATGAATTCATGTTCTCTAAAACCGAAGGATGAATTTTAGGAACAAACAGAGGTTATAAGCAGAATATATTTATTGGGGGGAAAGAAAGCTCCTGTCCGAGACAGGGACAGGAGGGGGACCCTGAGCGGGTTGTCCCTGGGGAGCTGTCTCTTCCAGGGACTTTTATAGAGTAAAACCATGCCGTGAGGTGGGTCTAAGGTGGTAGAGAAGACTTGGAAACTCACTTAGGTGGACATGAGGTGGGACAAAACTATGGTCAACCAATGAGATTACAAGCACCATTGCTCAGGTAAAAATTGATTAGATTCAGTATCAAATGGGAATATGAGTCATATAGCTAGTAGGCATGAATAGGGACAGGGTCTCTTCCTGTTGGGGGTTGGGCTAGTGACTCATTTGGGCTCTTTCAAGGTGATTGATACCTATTTAGAATATCAGTCCCTGATACCCATCCCTAGGGAAGTATGTAGCTGTATTTGTTTCCTCTTTTATCTTGAGATCTGGCCCAGAGGGAATGTCTGTCTCTTCCAAGTTGCAAAGTCACCTTGTCTTCCATCTTGTCTCCTTGAAGGCCTGGCCCTGTCTGATTGCCTATAATATTTCTATCTAATTCAGCTGCCTATAACGATATCACTTAATGTTCATATGGAAAGATTTCAGTTGGGAAGTTGATAAAGCACAGTGACACCATATGTGCATGGCTGGCAGGGGCTGGTGGATGCCCTAGGAGCCCTAGGAGAGACTGCACAGGAAGCCTGGGCTAGGGGATGTCGGGTGAGGGCTGTTCTGAGGTCACCTTGGGCCTCCCACTGCTCATGGTGTGGAGTGCTGGGCTAGTGAGGGCCTCTCAGAGGAGTCGCCAGCCCCAGAGCTGAGTGTGGCTGAATGAGAAGATTTGCTGGAAGCAAAGAAGGGTATCCTAAGCAGATGTGGGGGAATTCCTTCTACAGATAGGTACTGAGTTTCTACTGGGAGGCTTAACTTTTATGCATCAAGTTGACTGGGCTACCTGGCACCCAGGGATTTAGTCAACCATTTAAGGTGTTTCTGTGAGGGCAGTTTTGGATTTAAATTAGTAGACTGAGTCAAAAGATTGCCCTCCTTACAGTGGGTAGGTTTCATTCAGTCCTTTGAAGGCCTGGTTAGAAAGATAAGCTCAAGCCTTGCCTGAGGGAGAAAATTCTCTTGCCTTTGAATAGAGACCCAGTGGCTTCCAGGTTTTGTATTAGAACTCAGACATTTGCTCAGCAGATTTTGGACTTGCCAGCCTCCATGATTATGTAGCCAGTTCCTTATAATAAGGACAGAGAGGCGCACGCACACACACACACACACACACACACACACAGACACTCTTTGGCTCTGTCTCAGAGAACCCTAACATATCTGCTCCATGCCAGGCAATCTGTCACAGTGCTGAGGCCATGCAGAAAAACAACATGGGCTGTCATGTGTGTGCCCCTTATGGCTCAGATTGCCTGGCTTCAGTGGTGAGGGGTGCAGATGAGGGGTTGGCAAGGTGGCGCCAGGTCAGAAGGGCCCTGGAGGCCATGGGAGAGTCTGCTCTTACTATTCTGTAGACTAATGCTTTCTAAACCTCAGTGCCACTGTCAGGATTTCTCACATTTCAGCTGTTTGGTTATTTGCTGGGTATGGTACGTTTAAAAAAATCAATTGGGAGCCGGGGAGATAGCTCAGTCCCTCAACTGAGGGACTGTTGGAATTGAGATAGGATAGGAGCTAGAATCAAGGTGGGCAAATTTTGAGGGGACCTAGAGATTGAATTTGAAAGGACTTAGAAACTAGTAGTTTGGGACTTGAGGGAGAAGGAGGACTTGGGTTGCCGCTGATGATTTTAGCTTGGTTGCCTGGGAGACAGAGGTGTCATCCGGGAGGCAGTGCCCTGCGCGGAGGCTGGTGTCAGGTCCACACAGCAGGGTAAGGAAAGCAAGCATTTCCAGGGCCACAGGCCTCGCCAAGAGCTTTAGCAGTGATACTGTGAAGTTCATTGGCCCTTAAATAATAGCCTACCTACACTTTAAATTAAATTAAAGCATTTTTAGTTTAGCTCTTTTAAGTGGACCCACACATGTATTCTCTACTAGTTATTACTGGGGATGACTAAGTATTATAATTGAACTGAAAATAATCTACCGCCCATACTTGCTGGGTTGGTTACTAAGTATTGCTTGGGTTTTTAAGTAATGAAACATAGCTGTGCTCTTTCCAAATGTTAATTTTGAAGGCTGCAGATGGTAACCATCTGTTATCCGACTAGCATTTTACAATATTTGATTAGCACTTTATATAGTTTGGGGAAGCCTGCCAGGGGAGACAGTCCATCATGTGGGGGACCTTGTGGGGTGTAGCCTCTGTGGTTGCCCTCGCAGGTCTTGGCCAACACTTATGGGATTCCCCACTGCGGGTCTAATGCATGGCCAGTCAGACTGGTGAGTTGATGGGGTCATGGCAGGAGGAACTTGAGGCATCTCACCATGTTTAGATACTTCCTGACAGCTGGAACCATCAGCATACAGGAAAGCAAAACCGCGGAGGTCAGGACCTGTCTATTTATTAGCACTCTGCTAAAACAACCCCAACCTTGGCTAAGGGGTTGGGTACATGGTTCCGATCACTGGGAGGTCTAAGGCAAGGGCTTCCTTCAGATGGATGTTTTAAGCACAAACGAGGTCTTGGGATTTTGTTTCTCTCAGGTCTCAGCTTTGCCTTCTGTTGTGACGCTGGTTCCAGGAATGAGTCCTGTCAGCATCAAGTCCAGTGGGAAAGAACAGGAGTTCTTTCTAGTTCCTCCTGCTCAGGTGCTGAGATTCACTCTGATTGGAGCAGCTTGGGGCATGTGTGCACCTGTGGACCAGTCCCTGGGCTCCTGTCAGTGCAGGACTCTGATTGGTCAGGCAAGCTGAGCCGTGGGGCGGGGTGCAACCTGAGTTGTACAGGGGGGCTGTTAACACAGCCAGAGAGTAGGTGGGGGAGGGACCACCTGTGCGCTGCGCTGTCAGAGTCAAAGCGCAGAGGACCAGGAGGAATTGGCTAGCTTAGTTATGAAGACCGACATTTATTGCTGGGAAGAAAATACGCTAGAAGTGGACTAAAGGAGCCTCAGAACCCAGCCTCTTTATTAAGTTTCCCTCTTTAGTGTAAGAGCATATGACAGATTTGGTATCTGGTTCTCGTTTGGAGGTGGGGGTGGGGTGGGGGTTGCCTTTCTCTTTTTATATTGTGTTAAAACTCTGTTAGTCACTTAATCTCTGTCTTTTAGCTCTATCTACAAGGTAGGGAGCCTCCCTCTGATAGAGGGAAAATTTGCACAGAGGAGATAGTGGATTTATGCTGTTTTTTCTTTATTTCTTGAGACAACGGTCTCACCATGCAGTTCAGGCTGGCCTTGAGCTCACTGTATAGCCCAGGCTCGCCTCAAACTCGTGGCAATCCTCCTGCGTCAGCCTCCCAAGTTCTGAGGCTATAGATACGCAGCACCACCATGCCCAAGCACCTCGTGCTGTTCACTTTAACTGAAATGTGTGAAGACTGCTAAGGGCCAGGTCCTGTGCTGGGGCCTGCATGCTTGGCCTTGGGAGCCTCGGCAGCATGGTAGCAGCCCAGTGTCTGGCAGAGGAAACTGTGTTGCTCATGAACAGGGTGCTTCAATCTTGCAGAGGCCAGTGGTCCCCTCAGTCCCCAGGCAGGGATAATCGGGGAGGGATTCCTGGACTCGGCTGGACTGGGAAGGGTGAATGTGATTCCTCGTATGGAGGAGATGGGTCAGGAGTTCTGAGAGGTGACATTCTTGATGGCTCGGGGGCTCTGGGAGAAATCCTGGGTCTGTGGCTGGCTGAGGTACTGTGCCACTGGTTCAAGCTCAGTGTCAGTGTGGTGCGATGAGGGGGAGTAGGAGCAATGGGTTGGGCGCTCTCGCAGAGGCTCCAGTGGGAGCCTTTGGGGTGGTGGGTATGGAGGGGGCACTGTTCCGAGCTGGGGGGCATGTAATGACATTTTTGTTTTTTGTTTTTTTTTGGCGGAACTGGGGATTGAATTTAGGCCCTTGTGCTTGACAGGCAAGCACTTATTCTACTGAGCCATCTCCCCAGCCCTTTGTATTGTTTTAAGTTGTAGAGTTTTGATAGTTTCTTCACAGTGGCAACAGGAACCAATATGGCAGAGTTCGCACAGCCTCAGCCCTCCACAGCACACTTGTCTTGACCCACCCTGTCCAGGCACGACCTACACGGCCACGGCCATGATGTGCTCTGCGCCTCCCTCCATGACATGGTATTTCTGGGTGGGAGGGCCCCTATCCAGGTGGAGAATCGCTTATGCTTTCCTAAGCCTAGACCAGTGCAAACTGCCCCACAGACTAAGCATCCTAGGACCTAGGACCTCCCTGCAGCCTTGGCCCTGGGCGCTTCCTGGCTGCAGCCTCCAGAAGCACCTCCTTTCTACCTGAGGACACTGGGAAACAACAATACCATAGCCCCGTAGGATGAATGGAGAAACAGAGGTCAGGAAACAGATGGGGCTGGGCCTAATCCTGCATAGGTCAGCCGTTAGGGGTGCGGCCCCAAGGGCTCCAGGGGAAAGTGGGAGTAAAGTCAAATACTGAGAAGAGGACCCAACCTGCTGGAAAGCGGGAACCAGAATATAATGAAAATTTTAACAAGTCATCATCCTCTAGAACCTACCACTTGAAAACATGTACACTATAGTTTGCTTCAAAAACAGAGTTCAAGCTAGAATGAGTTCTTTGGAGAGGGCGTGTACACTGCAGAAGTTAGAGAAATAAGGGCTCTCGAAGAAAGGGTTTTGGAGGTTTTCACTGCAAAGAAATAACAGATGTGTAAAGGATAGTGCATATAACCCGACTGAAACATGACACATATAGACCTGCTTTGAAATGTCACGTGATGCTCTATAAACATATGCACTTTTGTATTTTAAAATAAATTTAAATTAGAAAAATAAGTTCCACAGGTACAATAGAGAGCCTGGTGTATTCTTCCATTTATATAAAACTCTAGAAAGTGCAGGCGGACTTGTGGTGGCAGCAAGCAGATTGGTGTTGCTTGAGGAAGGGGGGAGTGGAAGGAAGGGTTCACAGAGGTGGAGATGGCGTGGGCGTGGCGCTGGGTCCACTTCTGCCTGAGCCGGCTTCTCCCGTGTGTGTATCAAATGCATGCAGGGGTACAGTTTATATATGTGCATTTGGTTGCAGGTTAACACCTGGTAAAGCTGATTTTCTTTTTCAAGGGGGCACTGGAGCTGGGCTGCCAAGGCTGACAGCTGAGCTCTACCTTGATCAGCTGTGTGATCTTGGGCAAGTTACCAGAGCTCTCTGTGCTTAGTTTCCTTATGTGTGCAGTGATTACATGGAAGGTGAACACATTAAATAAGTGCTAATGGTTGTTGTTAATAACACAATGAAATGGAATCATGAGCACAAGATACGGCGTCACCCTAGGGACTCCATGTGTTAACTGCTTCCTCAAGCACAGCCTCCAAGAATCCTGTTTCTCAAACTGTAACATGCAAACACATCTGTCGGACACCAATATACACTCTCGCTCTTGATCTCTACAGGGCTGCTCTGGGGTGGATGCATCACTAGGGCTGAATGTGCAGATCAGACCCAGGGAGGGGACCCTACAGGGGTGGCCATGACAGGGCAAGAGGGTTGGGAACTAGAGGTCTGGACAGAGCAGGACTTGGCTCGATGACCCAGATGTACTGCTCTGTGTTTTCCAGGACAGAGGTCTTGCTGATGGCCCCACTTCCAGGAGCAGAGCTGGTCCAGAGGCCACTGCAGCTCTACAGATACTTGCTGCGCTGTTGCAGGAGGCTGCCGACCCAGGGCATCCAGGAACACTACAGACATGCTGTCAGGCAGGTGGGAGCAGGGTGCCTGGGACCTGGGGGTTAGCATTCCTTTCATGGATCTAGCAGTGGGCCGCTGTCAGAGGCCAGGTAAGGCATAGTCTTTTGGATGGAGGAGGGGGTGGTAGTTTGGAACCAGGTACCAGAGATTAATGCTGGGGACCCCAGCTCCTTTCTCTGGCTTCTGTCTGGGAGTGTGTCATTCAGTACACCAACACAGAGCCAGGGCATGAACAAGGTGGCTCTGTGATAATTAAGACAGACAATAGGACATGCACATCATGTTGTTAGCAGTGCTCAGCCTGGATTTAATCATGACGAAGCATCAGGTCAACCCAAACTGGGGACCGTCCTCCAGATAGCACCCTGACCAGAACCCATCACAGATGTCAGCTTTGTGAGACACAGGAAAGCAGAGATGCTGTGGATTCAGGGGCTGAAGAGATGTGACAGCTAAATGTAATGCATTGTCCTAGATTGGATCCTAGGCCAGAAAAATAATTGCTTTGGGGGACATTATTGGGGTGGTGTGTAGAATTGGAACATGGGTTGTAGATGCAATAATGTTGTTGTATCAATATTATACTTTCTGAGTTAGGTTATTGTGGTTCTATAAGACAACACCATCATTAGGAAACACACGGAAGTGTGGAGGGCGTTAAATGGGACAACTGCCACCTACTCTGAAATGTGTCTAAAAAGAGATTATATATAAGAAGAAAGTCATAAGGTGCATGTGGCAAAACATTAAAATTGGTGATTCTGGCAGGGAGTTCTCTATACTTTTGCAGTCATTTCCAAATATAAAAGTTAATAACAAAGCTCATACAATTAAAATATAGACAGCACTCGGGAGGCTGAGGTTGGAGGATTCCTATGAGTTCGAGGCCAGCCTGAGTTACATAGCAAGTTCAAGGCCAGCCTGAACTACAGAGCAGGAACCAGTCTTCAGACAAACAAACAAAAAAAAACCAAATAAAATATAGAAAATAAAAGAGAAGGAGCAACGGAAAGCCATGGGAACAGAGGAGGGAGATGTTAGCCGTCTGGGGAAGTCGGGGAGGGCTTCCCCAGGATAGGCATTTGAGGGGTTTGAGTGATGAGAAGGTGGGCCTCAGTTCTTTAAGGAGGCCCTGAGCACCCTATCGATGAACATAAATCTTAGGGTATCAGCAGCAGTCGATGCCTTGCATTGGGCTTGCTGGATTTTGCAAGCTGTGGCTTCCCCTCCTGGGCTTTTCTAGCACTAGGGTGGGAGAAACCCTGTCCCTCCTGTGGCAAAGCCCGAGCAGGGCTCTCACTCCAGTCAATGAAAGCAGCTTCCTGTGAGGAGCAGATTCAATGGAAATTTCCCCAGGGCCCTGACGACTTGCCTGATAACCTCTGGGCCCAGCTACTCCTCCTTTTCGTCTGCCCTGCTGACAGCATCACCAGCCTTGTGATCAGATAGACTAGGATTCAAATGCCAGTGCTTAGCAGCAAGTTAAGATTTCTGGGCCTCCGTGCCCTCAGCCCTCAATGCCATCACGGCCTTGGAGGATTTGGAGGCGCTGAGTAGAAAGTGCCCGGCACTGTATCTGGCCGAGGATGGCCGACTCTGTGGATTTTGCCCAGTCATCTTTATGTTGTAACTTACAGAGTTTCCGGGTTCATTCAGATGAAGACAACCCTGAGAGAATCCAGCAGATTATTAAAAGAGCCATTGAGGATGCCGACTGGGTCATGAACAAAGTAAGTCTCTCATAGTGACCAGGCTGGAGGAGAGAAATGACGATGATGGCGGTATTCTCTATAGCCACTAGAGGGCGTCCCTGTCTCACTTTTGAGAAGCGGGCAGCCGTGACCCCACCATCCCCAAAGCCAAGGGTGGTCCCTTTGGGTTGCAGGATGGAGCTGAGGGACATTCTTCAGGACAGATTTATGCCTAACAGTGCTCAATAAGCTAAGATGGGCACAGGAAGAAGGAAGAGAACAGTTTTCTTGGAAGCCAAGTGCCAGAGCAGGGGGTAGCGTTGTGATGCTTCGGAGAGAGGACTTCTGAGGAAGGGAGCTTGGGTCTCTGAGGAATTCTCACCCAGGCTGTTATCTAGGAAACAGCTAAGGTGCTGTTTGGGTGGAACAAGGGAGTGAGCTAGGAATGTAGTGGGTATCAGAGTGAACTAGAGAAGTGGAATAGACCCTTTCCCTAAATCTGAATCTCCAGATATGGGTTCAAGATCCATTCTTTAATTAAGTTAGCAGTTAGCTGAGCATTCTTCTCTGACTTCTAAGGGTCCTCCTCTGCCTGAGAATTTTATTCTCCAGAAGCCAGATCACCCTCCACTAGAGAGTAGCACAGGTGACCCCAGTTTGCAAATCTAACCTCTCCGGTTTATTACCCTCCCTCCTCCAGCCTCCTTCTTCCTGCTCTAGGGAAGAAAGAGGGTCCAGGAAGAAGCTGCGGATCTGACCATCTAGGGGCTCCTGACTGTGGCACCGCCTCTGAGAAGACCTGCAGGAGATGGTGGGGGCCCAGGCCACTGGGGTTCCAGATTTCCTGCGCCCTCCTCCACTGGCTTCCCTTAACCTCCTCTTATCTCTGTCTTGCAGTATAAAAAACAAAAGTGACTACCCAGAGCCTGAAGGAGAAGTTGTGTTAGAGACGTCTGGGGCTCCCTCTCTTCTGGAGCTAAGCTTCATCATCATCATCATCAGCATCATCAGCATCATCAGCATCAGCAGCATCATCAGCATCAACAGCATCAGCATCATCAGCATCATCATCATCGGAAGCAGCAGTTTTGGAATATTCTTCAGTCTCATTGGTTGACAGAGCAGGAGAACTGGGATGGGAGAAGCTGACATTTGTCTGTCAGCTCTTCTCGCTGTAGCCATGTTCCTGGCGTCCTTTCTTGTTGCTTTGCCTGCCAGGTCTGATATACAGCCTGTGGACAGTGTAGCATTTTTTTGTTTCTTCTCTGTGTTTTTCATTTTGGTGTTTTTGGTTTTCTACATTGCTCTGAAACTGATCCATTTGTTCTGGAGGTCTTTTTACAAGTCTTTGAACCCCAGAGAAGATGTCCCCATAGATGGTCACCTGCACAGAGGGAAGAAAATGGTCTTTAAATCTGGGCAGCTCTGGATTTGAGCCCTGGACTTATGGCTTCCCTGTGGTGTGGCCTTTGAGCTCAGTGTCCTCCTTGGTGAGGATGAAGTGAGATGAAGGAGAAGTGCCTCGCCCAGGATGCGGCATGTACCTGTTAGTGCCCCCAGGGAGCTGTGCTGGGTGGTCACCTCCTGCTCCTGCGGTGTTCTGGGCATGTCTGCTGTCCTGTGTGGTATCAGTGATTTGTTTTTGTTTTTTTCATTTGTGTATTTGGTACAGGGTCTCATTGCACAGCTTGGACTTGTAGCGATCCTCCTGCTTTCAGCCTCCCAGTGCTGGGATTACAGGCACGCACCCCCATGCCCAGTCTCAGTGGCCAGCTCAGTGTGCCCCCCCCCGGGGGGGGGCAAGGCTGGCATGACATGCAGAACCGGGGATGGAACCCTGGTCCCTGTGCTTGCCAAAGCAGACACTTAGTCTGCTGAGCTATCTCACCGCCCCCCCCCCCCCCTTTCTGGTGTCAGTGATTTGTTTGTGAGCTTGTCCAGTCCCAGCTTGGAACTCCAGGTCCCTCGTAGCTGTGCCATGACCAGCAGTTGGCAAGGAACTGCTCCTCATGGGCCCTGTCCCTGCACACGCAGGAAGCAGAAGCCCTGGTCTTGCCTTCAAGGAGTTGCCAGAGTCTTTTGAAGCAGCAAAGTACACATTACCTGGAAGTAGGAAGAATATCCAAGCAGCTTCGATGGACACCGGCGTGCCCAGGCTTCTGAGGGCCTGGGGTCAGCCTTTGCCAGCACTTCCCTGCTTTGCCACCATCATGGCAGGGTGGACAGCATGGAGGGAGAGGATGGGTCCAGGGAGTGTAGCGAGAGCTGGCAGAGCAGCCAGAAAATGCAGAGCAGCCACGCAGAGGCCTAAATATTCCGTGCTCTGCCAGAGGTACGTGCTAGCGTGTTCAGGTCCTTGCAGTGATGTAACGTACAGCGTCATCTACGTGGGTTGATTAACACACAGTGCTGATTAACAAATAGTGAAGTAAACGAATCTATTTGTGAAAGTGCCTGTCTCTTCTCAGTTGATGTTCCCCAGATAAGGGTTGTCCCCCTACTGTGTGCTGTCATACTGAGTGCTGAGGGCTTAGATCAGTCAGAGGTGAGTGACACAGAGAGACCATTCTTCAGAGATGTCTCTGAAGCACAGAGGGGGATCAGGGAGGTTCTCAGAGGAGATAACCTGAACCCAGCCTCCCAACTGAGGAACTCTGTGAGCAGTTGGCAGAGTTGTATCCACGGGGGTGAGGTGATCGTACCCTAGGCCTTTCCCCAGGGGGATAGAGTAACGGGAACCAGAGCTGTGAAGAGAGTTCATGTCCCTTGTCTTTGGCCAGCCCAGTGGTGGCTCCATGGCCTTCCCTTCACTGGCAGGTGCCCATGCCCAGCAGTTGGCAAGGAACTGTCCCACCTAGGCCCTGTTCTTCCATGCTCAGGAAGTAGAAGCTCTGTTCCTTGCTTGCCTTCAAGGAGTTGGAGGGAGTGAAGTGCACACTACCTGAAAGTAGGAAGCATGTCCGCACAGCTGTGATGGACACTGGCATGCCCAGGCTTCCGGGAGCCTGGGATCAGCCTTTACTGGCCCTCCCTGCTTTGCCACCAGCACATGGCTGTCCAGCTCTGGCGCAAGGCTGGTCAGTGAGGGAACCCACAAGAGCTCGGTTGGTTCACTGTTTTGGTGCCATCTGCCAGCCAGAGAGGACACAGCCTGCTCACGTGTCATGTACCTGGGAAGTGCAGGTGGCAGTCCCAAGCTGGAGAGGCAGGGTACATGCAGCAGGGCAGATACGTGGCCTTGTCAGCCTCTTCCTCGGCCTTCTGCCACCTGCCCTGCATGAAGCCCGTGCACATGCCGGTCTTACATGGGCCTCAGTCACAGCTCTTAAATGCACACAGTTAAAGACTTACAGTTGCCTTCCAGCAAGTAGAAGAGGGAGATTGAGACTGAGGGCTTTTGACCCAGAATTAGGCAGTATGATAAGAGCGGGTTCTGGAGCTACATTCATATTTAAATCCTACCTCTGTGACTTATGAAGTAATTTGAGGCATGTTTGCTAACCTGTCAACCTTAAATTTCATTTTACAACAGGCTGCATGTTCTTTGGGGCAATAAGATTATGGCAGTGTATATGAATGGTCAGCTAGCCACGTGACCTCCTTCTCTTGTCTTTGGTTTGCAACCCTTCATTTTCAGTGGGTCCCTGTGCTCTCCCTGATGCCTGCTATGCCAGCACAGTGCCAGCAGGAAAGGACCTGGCTTCTGGCATCTCCACCTTGGCTGATTTTTTATGAAACCAAGGATTGAACTCAGGCCCTTGCACTTGCCAGGCAAGGGCTTATTCTACTGAGCTATTTCCCTGGCCCCCACCTTGGCTGATTCTTATCCATAGTCACCTCACCTGGGGTATACTGTATTAGGAAGTTCATGCATTGGGCTAACTTCAGTTCACTGGTAGGTGCTCACGCCCAGCAGTTGGCAAGGCACTCAGGCCCCCTTGAGAGACCCTGCCACATCTGGGGGCTGATTCTACTGATAACTTTGAGTCTTTGGTCTTGTCCCAGAACCTGCTCGTGGCCCAAGCCTGCCTGCCCCACAGCCCCATTCCCTGCCCTGTACCACCCATCTCGGCTGAGCATCTGTTCCACACAGCCCTTCCTCCAGGTAGGAAATAAGCACAGTGGAAAGGAGGTAAATGTGGATACCACAAAGAACATTATCATGGTTCATAGGATATTATCATACAGATTTATTTTTTCTCCCATTCTTTCATTTTATATTAGATGGTTTTGGTTCTCCCTGTCCCTGGATGAAAACTGAGAAAACTCAACACTTTCTGGCCAACCTGAGGTCAAACCCAAAGCTATGGTTACTTTTAAATCACAAAGCATTCTTAATTCATGAAGTGAACATGTCTAATCCTAGGTGAAAATTACATTTTAGAACTGAATGAAGCCACATTTTTTCTAGCTGGGATCTGCTGTAGATGGGATTATCAGAACTTAATTTTTTTCTGATATCAAGGATCAAACCTGAGACCTTGTGCTTGCCAGACAGGTGCTTATGCTGCTGAGCCATATCCCCAGTTTCTGCCCAGCAGCGGCTGCAGGTGGTCTTGGCCTGCGTGGGTGGGGCTGGGGCAGAGGACATGGGCTTAGGCCCTAAATGCTGGGTGGGCTGAGCCATCCGGGGCAAAGGAGAAACAGGGAGGCTGGAGCCAGCCACAAGGATCAGGTCCTGCAGACCCTTGCGGGATGTGCTGAGGAATCAGGATCTCCCCCAGCAGACGGTGGGCCCCTGGAGGTCAGGAGCCCTGCACTGGGCGTTGCAGAGTCCTTGGGCCTGCTGTGTGTGTGGGCAAACTCAAACATTTCAGGAACAAAATAAGGAGATAGAAATGCTATGTTGGGGCTGGTGACATAGCTCCTGCCTGCAAAGGATAAGGTCCTGAGTTCAATTCCCAGCACCAAAAAATAAAATAGAATAAAATTGTTGGTTGTGTTCTTGTCACTTTAGAGGAGGGATCACCCACCTTCCCAGTCCCTAGTGGCACTCACAGACCTTTTTTTTTTTTGCGGAACCAGGGATTGAACTGAGGTCCTTCTGCTTGCCAGGGAAGTGCTTATTCCACTGAGCCATCTCCCCGGCCCCTACACAGACCTTTTTGAGGAAGTTCCTTTGATGCAGAGAGGATTTACTCCAAAGCAAAAGTTACCAAGAGCTGAAACTCAGACTTCCTCCCAGTCTCCTGAAGCAAGCCTGTCCTTCTGTCTGTTTGGTGTTTCGTCTCGGCTCCACACCTTTTATAACACAAGGAGAAATTTAATGGGCTTGATATGAGGGAGGAGCCTTGTTAACAGGAATCACTGGTGCTACATGCGCGCCAGGGTCGTCCGGAGGAGAAGCCTGCTGGCGCAGCTATGTGAGGCCTCCGCTGCGGTAGCCGCCTTGCTCAGGCAGCGCTGCTTTTGTTGAGACTGTAACGGACACCTGGTTATTCAGGCTTCACTATGTGGCAGACATCTGCTCAAAAACGAGATAAGCCTGTTATCATAGAAATTCATAGAGTAAAAGACAAAAGATGGAAAGCAAGTGCCAGAACATATTACAAATGACAAAAATTGTGCTTTCTTCCCAGTGACTCGGGAGGCTGAAGCAGGAGGATTATAAATTCAAGGCCAAGCCTGGGCTATACAGTGAGACCCTGTCTCAGAAAACAAAACAAAACCAAAAACAGAAACAAGGAAAAAGAAGCAAAGGAGCCTAAGACTAAAATCTTTGAAAACTGTTGTTCTACTGCATGGTTTAGTTTGGTTTTCCTACTTTTGTTGCCATGTGAAATTATTGGACTTCTTTGCCTGGCATGATGGCACACACCTGTAATCCCAGCACTCAGGAGGCTGAGGCAGGAGGATCCTTGCGAGTTTGAGACCAGTCTGGGCTACAAAGTGAGCTCAAGTCCAGCCTGAACTGCATGAGGATGGGAGATCCTGTCTCAGAAAGACCCAAACCAAACCAAACCAAACCAAAACACCCAAAAATCTGATCTCTACATTTAGGGTCTTTATTTGGATCCTGACTACATTTTCTCCTATTGCTGTTGGCCCATAAAGTTCCCATGTCAGGATTGTTCGGCATCCAAGCCTGTCATCTATCAAGTAAACTGTCCTTAGTAACTTCATCTCTTCTGTGGCTGTGGCATTCATTGATATATTCATTCATTCCCTCATTCCTTCTTTGTTCATTCAGTGTTGAGGACCTCTTAGGAATCTAGACTTCTATCTATATCCCCATCCAGACTGGGCTATATGGTTTAATGTGCACTTGCTAATCTCTATCATTTCTGGAAATATGTGGAAAGATTCTGTTTCAGGCAGCTATGACTATCCATAGGAATCTAGAAGTCTCTGTCTAAAATTAAATTTTTTTCCCCCTGAAGGCTGTTTCTATTTATAGACACTGGCCCACATTTACATACACATGTCCACAGTCCCCTATAACATTGAGACAGCCAAATCTGACTGAGAAATGATGAACTGCTTTGTAAACAAGTTCCCCCTACATTGTTACCTTCCTGTTTCTATGAATCTTTAAAACTGTCTGGTGGAATAGGTAGTAGGAATTGTCCAAGGGGCCTCTGGGCTTGGAGATCACTGAGCAGCCTCATTCTTTTCTTTGTCGTTGCCACAGTGCTGGCTTAGGCTCCTTGTTGTCCAGTCCCCTATTTCTTCTCTTGTACACTCACATGAGTACA